AATAATGCCCAACAAAACGAAACAAAATATACAAACTAAAGACCACCACTATAACTTATGCAACAAACGTATTAGTTTATAAAGATTTTTTTAATATGGATACTTTCTTAAAGTACTGAGAATTGAAACAGAAATTCCAGCTTGCAAAACGTACACACATGTACATACATGAAAGAGAGAAACTGCATCAAACTTTAACATGTAAGACAAACTATCTAAGCTCATGCAGACCCATATCTTCTAAGATAAGACCCCAAATAAACTGGTCTAACATTAACCATACCCCGATCCATGTGTTCTAAAGATCACTGACTGTTCCAACGTGTCCCTGCCAAGATGATTCAAGACTAACTCCAATTCCCAAACTTCTTCCCTAATTCTTCCCATTTAAGAAGTCCCACTGTTTCCTTAGCGCACATTCTCTCTTGCTGCAGCACCCTAATAAACCTAACTTTGCTTGAATAAGAGTTTGTTGCTAGTGTTCTTTGTATTGCAGACCTTAACAGGTTTAGATCTCACTGAGATCCTTGCTACCCTGGCCTGGACCCTCAACTGGATGGTAGTGTGCACATCTGAAATCGCTTTAGTTTCCACCTGCTCAGAATCATCTTTGTACTGAAACTGAATTCCAGTTATTTCAATGAGTTCTTCAGTGTTGAGTTTTTGGTTGTTGTCATTGGAATATATTCCCCTGGGACTCTTTGTCTATCTGATCACATATCTACTCATTTTCCTGGGTGAAGTTCTGCCAAATCTTTGATTTACTATTAGCCATCCTGCCTGTCTACTATCTACAGTACTGATGCATGTCTAAAAACGAAGAGCACAGAAGACAATTTAGACCCATTAAATCAACCTCCAAGCTTTCCTTCAAAGGACTGACGAGTTCACAAGATCTTGATAACGTGGCATCATTCGGGCAAACTTTTTAAAGTTTAATCTTTTGAAGACCATACAAGAATATTCTTTAGTCTTGTCTGTGTGTGAAAAGATTGGCTTTGGGAGAGATATTCTCTTCATATTCCACCTGCCAGGAGGCTGCTGATTAATGACCAGAGACTCACACAAGAAATACTTTCCCTTTTAACCTAAGTCAGCCTGTTTGTCTTATGGTTCATCTGCAAAAAACTTGGGCTATCTCCTAGCAGAACTCTCACTTCTGTTTTCTCACTTTTGCACATGCCTTTCTCAATGACAACTTCACTAAAGGCAATCTGGATTACAAATGGCCTCTTAAGGAAACTAGGCATGAACAAAATTGTTCACTTGAGAGGTACGCTAAATCAAAAGAGGAATGAATCAGATGATAACGGCTCTTAAAATCTACATGAGCGCCTGTGCTAATTGGTTTATATTAAATATTCACAGAAACTTAAAAGAAATACTTGAAGAAACTCTAAAAGGAGGAGGAAAACTCCTACTGCTTTACATTTTTGGCTCTTCTAAGGAAAACATTTTCTGTTGCAACTGCAGTTCTGAAAAAAGTTAACTGTTGTTCCAATAGTTATGAAACAAGAAGAAAAGCAAGGCATTCCAAGCTTTTAAACATAATTTAAAGTCTTTTAAATCTGATTTATGAAGACAGGTTTATAAGTTGCATTAGAAAAAAAGTTCATTAAATATTCCTGAAATATAGATGATTCTACATAAATTAGAGTTAATATCACTTTCTCCCTTATTTTATCACAAAAATATTCTAGTTTGTACAAGATAGCGTTGGGGTTTTTTTCTCCATGATTTAAAGTCTCTAAATTTCTTATATAGGTTTTATGGGTTAACACTGTTTCCACAAATCATTTATTACTACAAAAACCTAAAAGTGTGTTTAACAAAATGGAATTGTTACAATAAATACCTTTTATGAGATATTAAATTTGTAAAATTCTTATGCTACCTTAAGACTACCATAAGCACTTCCTATGTCAGCTTAATTTGTGATTTCCAGGACCTTAGTTACCTTTGAGAATGTGAAGGAATATTAATTTAATTGATAAATAATCTTGGATAACTGGACAATATAATTTTACCACACATTTGTTTTTATCTAATAACTCTAGTAGCCATTAACCACTGGGTTAAAAAGAATGTACAGATGCTTTTAAATTACGTTGGTATGCATGTCCATTTTGAAGCAATATAAAAGAATTTGTGTAGGTAAGGAGATGTACATGCAGGGTAACGAATACTTTTTCTACTTACAAAAAAGTTATTTTGTCTTAAAACAAAAAGTGTCTGGTTGTGCTAGGATATAAAAGAGTACTTTTTTAAAAGAGAAATTTAAGAGTATACAGAAAGTACAGAATTTTTAAGGGGTGAACTTTGTCTGGGTTTACAACAAGCTATAGTAATATAAGTAATATATATAAGTAATATATAGTAATATATATAATATATATATAAGTAATATATATATATATAAGTAATATATAGTAATATAAGTAATAGGTTGGAAAGGATCAATAAATGTGTTAAAACTTCTGACAAAGTTGCTTAAATGTAATGGACGTACTCACAAGGAGAGGCTCATGAAACAATTACTAGATGTTGTTACATAGAAGATAAAAACAGTACAACTATAATTTGGATTTTCTTTCTGGTGAAACAGCAAAGCTATCTCTGAGCTAAGAGAAGTTTCTTTCATTATCAAAATATTCTGTCACTCTGAGCATATTGATACATTCTTAAATCGCTTTTGAAAAAAGCTCCCCACTTTTGAAAGGTTAAAGTTCCTAATAACCGAAGTCATATATTCTTTCACCTTTTATGCTTGTGCACCAAAATTAACAAAGCAGACAACATTTCAACAAATGGTTTTGGTACAACTGAATATTCACATTCAAAAGAATGAAGTTGGAACCCTACTCCACACCCTTCACAAAAAGTAACTCAAAATGGAACAAAGACCTAAATGTAAGAGCTAAAACTATACAACTCTTAAAAGAAAACATAAAAATAAATCTTTACAACCTTGGCTAAGGCAATGGTTTCTTAGATATGACACCAAAAGCATAAATGACAAAAGAAAGAGGATAAATCAGACTACACCAAAATTAAAAACTTTTGTGCTGCAACTAATACTCTCATCAAGAAAATCAAGACAACTCACAGAATGGGAGAAAATATTTGCAAATCATATATCTGATAAGGGATCTGTATCCAGAATATATAATGAACTCTTACAACTCAATAAAAAGACAAAAAACTCAACTAAAAATGGGCAAAGAATTTGAATAAACATTTTTCCAAAGAACACAAACAAATGGTCAATAAGCACATGAAAAGATACTCAACATTAGTTGTCAGAAAACTACAAATCAAAACCAGAATGAGATACCACTTCACACCACTAGAATGACTACAATCAAAAGAGACAATAACTAGTGTTGGCAAGGATGTAGAGATATTGAAACCCTCATACATTGCTAATGAGAATGTAAAATGGTGCAACTGCTTTAGAAAACAGTTTAGCAGTTCTTCAAAAAGTTTAACAGAGTTATCATATAACCCAGTAATTCTGCTCTTAGGTATATACCCCAAGAGAAATGAAAGCATATACCCACATAAAAATTTGTACATGAATGCTTATAGTAGTATTCATAACAGCCAAAAAGCAGAAATGACCCAAATGCCCAGCAACTGATGTATAGATAAAATGTGGCATATTCATACAATGGATTATCATCAGCAATAAGAAGGAATGAAGTACTGATACATGCTATAACATGGATGAATCCTGAAAACATTATGCTAAGTGAAGGAAGCCAGCTATGAAAGACCACATAATGCATGATTCCATCTATATAAAAGACCCAGAAAAGAAAAATCCATAGAGAGAGAAAGTAGATTAGTTGTTGCTTACGGCTGGGGCAGGGGCTGGGAGCTGGAGATTAACTACTAATGGGTACAGGGCTTCTTTTAGGAGTGATGAAAGTGTTCTAAAATTAGTCATGATGATGGTTGCACAAACCATTGAATTGCATTGAATTGTACACTTTGAATTTGATGGTATATGAATTATATTTCAATAAAGCTTTTTTTTAAGTAGGCAAATGCTGAAAGCACACAAAAGTTCTAGAAGGAAATAGAAGATGCAGAAATGAAAAATTTGGTCATTCTAATTTATAAATCTAAAAATGAAAATGCCTTACTACTATGGAGCTAAAACAGCCATCCTCTCCTTAACAAAATTATTTGCTGTCAGTTTTCAATCAATTCTTTATGTACTGCATTTTGATGATGCAAGTACAAGAACCAGAAAGTAATGATAAGGTAGAACCTATTAGAGATGTATCTGAAATCTAGCACTAGCATTTACAAGATGGATATATTCCAGGTTCACACATGACAACTGATGCATAGTTACATTCAGAAGACAATGCCCTTATTGGGTACATGTATCATTAAAACTACGAAAATATAAAACACACATTTGGGTTTCCTATTTTCTCATTATTTAAAATTCTAATAAAGTTGCTTACTATCCTTTTATTTTTTGTTCAGTACATCATTTTAAAAGGGACTTAGAAACATTTTTTAAAAGGCATCCATTGGGCACAGATGGTAAATGATGTCACTATTTTCCTTGTATACTGAATATAGATATTGGCTGAGACTATTTCTTGTCTGTGGACATTTTTGATTTATGTTCATATCTTGTCTCCTCTGATAACCATGATTTTGCCTTTCCTAAATCCAAGCATAATAAAACTCTTTTTATTTTTTGCCCGAACTTTTTGGATTTCACTCATCTTATAAAAGAAATGATAATAGGAAAAATTAAGTTTGTTTGGCATTCTTCAAATTTTAATTAATTCAAAACCATTCTAAGAGCTCTTTTTCAAAAATCGAACTTAAAAAAACTTGACCAATCAAGAGTTCAGCCTTCCCAGGTTAAACTATACATAAGTAAAATTTGTTAATAAAAATGTTTCGATGTGTTATAGTCTGCTCAAAATACCACAGACTGGGTAGTTTATAAGCAACAGAAATTTGTTTCTCACAGTTTTGGAGGCTGGAAGTCCAAGATCAAGGTGCCAGTATGGTCAGGTGAGGGCCCTCTTCCAGGCTGCAGACTTCTCCATGTATCCTCACAGGGCAGAAGAGGCAAGGGAGCTCTCTCAGGCCTCTTTTATGAGGGCATTAATCTCATTCATGAGGCCTCTGCCCTCATGACCTCATAATCACCTCCCAAAGGCCCTGTCTCCTAATACCATCACATTGGGCATTAGGATTCCAACATATGAATTTTGTGGAGGGATACACATTCAGACCATAGCAAATGACTATACATTTCAGGAAAAAAGAAACATACTCATGTTCATATAAAGACTAATACAGTAACTGTCTACAAAAAGATATACTTTATGGGATAAATTATGGGCCTAGAGAATTGTCACTGTCCCTAATATGTCTGTAGTCTTATAATAATAATTTATAATAATCTGATAAATTAATTGTGCTATACCTCAATAGTGGATTCCACTCACCTCCATTCTACAAAAACATCATTGTCTGTAACATCTTCCATCTTCAGCAAATTTAATCTTCTGAAAGAGACATCAGAGAAAAACTGCCCTCAATGAAAAATTAGCTTATCAGATACTGTAACAACTAGCATGGCAGTAAAGCTCCAAGATGATTCCTGGATTCAAGTTTCCTAACTAAATGACAGTATCTTCTCCAGACAGCTGGAAAACCACTCTCATCAGGAGACTTTAAACCAGTGATTCTTAGGAATCCTCCAGAAGCCAAGATCTTTAGAGGAAGACTACTAATCAAGACTGTCAAGCTAATCAGAAGACAACAGAAAGTGGACAACTTATGCTCAAGGCAAAAAACAAGATTAATTTTCTGATATCTTTGCTCCTTTTCCCTCTTGTTTACTATGATTTGGCACCTCCTAGAGATGGTCTAAAGGTTTCTCAATATGCTCACATATCTTTAGCATTTTATTCTTAATCATCTATGGTCTTTTTTTGCCACCTTACAAGATGCAAAACTTTTCAGCAGTTTTCTCAGACGATAGCTATCTGAATATGTCAAATTCCACTGTAAAAGGTTTAAAAGCTACTCCTTTGAAACAATTCCTTAAATTCCTAAACAGACCAATTCCCTCCCAAAGTTCCCTTCTGATATTTGAATTTTCCTCCTATCATTAGCCCCAATCTTCATTCTTGTAAAAATGGAACTTCACTCCAAGTCAACAAAATGCTCCTGCTATAGTGATTACAGCACTGTCAGCAGAACTAAGCTGACCAAGAGAGAGAACAAACGCTGGAAGTATTCTCACTACACTAGTCATTTTCTCCAAAGATTTTCCAGACTTTTAAGCAGGAACTAAACCCCAATGAGAATGTACCCACCTCAAAAAAACAACTATTGGCTCATTCCTGTTGATAAAATCTATTGATGTTCCTAATATTATCTGTAACTCACCAGGGATTACTTATATCAACATCAGGCTTTCACCCACCTCCTAAACCCAAACCCATCTTTTGTGTATGGAATAATTGCTAAGAGGCTTTCAGATATTTAAAGCCCCCTTCTCTCCAGTGTGGTGTGTTTCCTTGAGAAGGATAACCAGAGACTACCAAAATGAAGCAGGTACTGGCTACTGAGGTGAGCTCTCAGAAGCGATGACTGACTCTTTATGCATACTGTGCTAGACTACTACTCCAACAGTAAGAATAAAACAACTACAAAAGTGGTCCAAATTTTGACTCATCCTCTGCTATAGAAACCCAATAAACCAGTTTAAACTCACTACTCAAGATTGTCATGGACAATCACATAGTCTTTTATTTCCCCTTGGCAAGCTAAGGGGCAGCTTCTATCTAGTTAATACTTCCTGTTGTATCTCTATAAAGATCACTGGACAGGTGGAATAGTCAGTCTTTCATAATGGAAAAGGCTACCTGACTCTGCAGAATAGTCCCAGCTAGACTTTGGGACATGTTTTTGTAGCTTGGGTTTGATAATCTAGGTTCCTGGCTTTGTATTCTAGTACAAGAATAATAATTTTGCTTCTGCTAATTTTATTACAGTTGGTTGATGCTTTCTGTCCAGAGTCTTAAATGCTGTTGTATAGCTAGCCTCAAGTCACATGATTCAACAATGATCAACCATTATTAACACAAAGACCTGAGGCTAATGACTACTACTAATACTTGATACACAATCATAACCCAGTAAATAGCAATACAAATCTCAATTGATCACAACTCCAGAAGATAAACGTCTATCCTTCAACTTAGGCTGAAGAAAAACCAGAAGAGAAGAACTGAGAATTGAAAGAGAAACTACAATCTGCAAAAATGTACAACTTGCAAAATGCGTTAAGTATACCAAACTTTGACAATGCAAGAAATTACCTAAGCTCAAACTCTTAACACCAGCTCAGATGCATTTGTTTCAAGATAAGACCACAAACTGATCTAACAATTCTGCATAGGTTCATGTGATCTAAAGATATTGACCATAACAGCAAATCTGTAGTTTCCAAATTTTCATCAATCCCTGCCAAGACAATCCAAGATTAACTCTAGACCCCAAACTCCTACATGTATCCTTCCTTTGGAGACACCCCACAGTTCCTCTGGTGTATATATACCCTTGGTGCAGCAAGACAATAAACCTAGCCTTGATTATAGGTGAGATCCTGGTGATTTTTGGTCAATGACCATCACCAGTATAAATGAGTCAGAGTTCCCTTCTGAACGAAACACAATGGCTTTATCTTCATCTGCAAAAGTAAGGAACCCTATATTCTATACACAAATGCCTAACAACATTACCAGTATTAAATAAAACCTCATCAGTATTAATCATGGCAATTTTATTAAACAAATAAAAATATATGAATTTGCAGATATAAAAGCTGACAGCCAACCAGTGTTAATTGAAAAATTTGTACTCTTAGGAAATATTAACTGAAAATAATTTCTCCATATGTAAAAATGTATACTTGATTTGTTTTTCCAAATTTTGATACAGTTTGTTTTAAGTTAACTACTCTAGCAAACCACCATAAAAATAAATGAAAGATTATAAATGTAACAGCATTCGGCACACTACTGTTGTGAATATGCTTTATTTTTAAGTAAAAAATGAATCATAGCCAAAACAAAATGTTTCGCCTCTGAATAATATTTTAAGCTTAAGGGAGAAAAAGTCATTAATGAGAAATATTTTCATTTTTCAATGTTTTTAATTTTTTATAAAGATTTTAATTAAACTTCACAGTCACTAAGTAGTTTTTAAACTTAGGCTTCATGATCCTTTTGACTTCATCCTTTTAAATGGAGTCACTTATCTTCAAAACATGACAAAGTTCAGAATCATTAAAAATTATTTTATTCAAATTATGTTTTCCAAAAGAGAGGGTTCTGTGCTAGTCGTCTTTGAAAGTTTTCATACCTACAAAAGAAAAAACATTTATACGAAAATTAAAATATAATCTTTCATAATCTGTCAAATGACTTACAAAAAGCAAACAACTTTATGTGTCATTCCTAAAAAGCTAAAATAAAAAAATCTAAAAAGCTGAAAAGTTAATCTGAAAGTTTAATTATTCTTATAAAAAGAATTTTTATAAGATTTAAGGACTGGCTTATATCAGAGAATACAAATCATAATAAGTTTTATTAATTGTTTATCTTCTGCAAATCTGAGAGCTAGAGGAGACCTAAGAAAAAAATCAAATCTAACTCCTCCTCCCTCATTTTATAGATAAGTAGATATGAGTAATTTGCTCAAGGTCACATTGCTACATTGTAACAAAGCTCAATCCTAATACATTCCAGTGCTATCCATGCTTACACCATGCTACCACTTCTAACAAACTCTCCCTATGCATTCCCCCACCTCTGGGATATTCAAAGTGAAAAGAAAAACGTATAAAACAGAAACATGGGAAAGCTCGGGAAATAGATTTATTAATCATTCATTTACAGAGCGCAGTATAAACCACCCTGATACCATACGCATGTTTACTTCAGATCAAGACTTTCTAAACTTATAATAACAAGTTTTGATTGATATTTCAAGTCTCATATGGTACTTATAATTCAAAATATTAAAAAATGTACAATCCTTAATTGTGGTACCTAAAACATAAGCAATTATATTTTCCTGTCTTTATAAATTCAAGATGGCTACTATATAACAGAATATTTAGGGTAAGAACCATTCCTAATCTGAACTCTCTAGTACATACTTTTTAATGGCATGCAAACATTAATGTATACTGATATCCACAGTAAAAGAATATGTTTAAATGTCAAAGAAGAAATACATTCATAGGCAAAAAATATATATGGTTACTAAAAACCTTAATATTAGAGATACAAAATGCCCCATACCATTTCAGAACCACATTTGCCGGAATGAACATTTCAGATGGACTTGGTGTCATCTGGGCCTGAGACACAGCAAATGATGAAGCAAAATTGTAGAAATTGTCCAACATCTTTTGTGTGAACTGAAAAGTTAATAATGAATAGATTAACGGCTTATACTAAATACTCCACTTAGACCTTAATATTTTTAACTTAAAATGTTCTCACACTATCTTGGTTTTAAGGATCATGAGTTCTAACACAGTCTTAATGCTGAAGGTTAAAGGAAGTCATAAAATGACATTATGGCACAAAATCATAATAATCTGCCTTTAGTATTTTCTTTATAGCTCAAAGAATTTCTGTGATTACCAAATATTTTAAATTCCTAACATTCATTTTGGTAAAAAAAAAAAAATGTTTTTCCTTGAAAATATCTTCTTTTATCTCCACCTCACTATCAACTATACCTCTCTCCTCAAATACCACCCTCCTCAAATCAATTTTCTCATATAAAATAGTAACCATCTCTAAGAAGTCTTTTTCTTGCCAGGAAGAGAAAAGCTTAACTATAATAAAAGAGCAACTGGTTCCTTGCCATCAATTGTAAAGAAGAGAAAGGTGGTACTATTCCACTTCCTCTATTCTCCTGGCCTGTTTCTTCTCATTTACCCTCAAATGGACAAATTCAGTAACATCTTCCAAGTCTCCCTGGTAGAAGCTGGAAGCAAACTGATTCAAATGGAATTAAGCACTAAACCCAAAAGTAAATGATCTACTAAAGATACTACTACCTTATATTCACCCAAAAATAATCTTCCCAACATCACTTTCTCAGAAACACAAAACTAGAGAGAGGAAATGTCTTATTAGGGTTTTTATTTGTTTAACAATATCACGGTAATTTAATCCTAGAGACTATACCATTAAGGTGCTTGAACTAATATCAGATTTCAGGAAGAGCACTAACTAAAAGAACAATATCAGGCAAAAAAAAAAAAATCAACAGAAACTCTCCATACTAACAACAAAAAATTTAAAAATGTAACTTAAAAAGATCCAATTCAGAATAGAAACAAAGTCTGTAAGATAACCAGGAAAAATGCTAAGACAAGATGATAATAAGACTTTTGTGGGAAATATTTTAAGACTGTCTTGACAGGAAAGAAAACAAATGAAAGGACCTATATATACCATATTCACTGGAAAGATATAACACATTCACAGATGGGAAGGGTTAATGTAGTAATGTCAGAAATTCTCCCTAAATTAAACCTATAAAACCAACGTTATTTCCAACTAAATTTCAGCAAAGTTTTTCATAGAATTTGACAAGCTGATACTAAAATTATTATGAAGAATACCTAAACCTATTTTGATGACTAGGAGGAGGGACTTGGCCTACTAAATATTAAGACTTTTACTGGCTAAGGGACAGGCAAATAAATGAACTGGAATAAAAGAGAGAGCCTAGAAAGAAAACTAATCATATGTGACAACATGATACATAACAAAGATGCTATTATTACTCAGGGTTAAAAAAAAAAAAGGACTAACTATTCAATTAATGGGACTATATATTTCGGCAAAATACATAGTCAATTTCAATGAAAGAAAATACAAATGCAGGCCAAAATATGAAAAGATGCTCAAAACTTCTCTAGCAGTCAAGAAATACAAACCAAAACAATAGTGATATTCTAATTTCACCCATCAGCTTGGCAAAAATCTAAGCTCTGATAAATATTAGTGAGAATATATAAACATCTATCAATATGGAAATGAAAAAACAAACTGTGGCTCATTCATACAATGGCATACTATACAACAATTAAAACAAACTGGATCTACTCCATGTATCAACACAGATAAATCTTAAAAGTAATGTTGAGTGAACAGCTAGTTGCAGAAGTTTGTACAGTATGATACCATTTATATCCATTTTTAAAACATATAAAAGAGTAAATCAACAGGAATGAAAAATTGAGGAACCAGAAAACAAGGGATTCAACATAGAGAAATATAAGAAATTTCTACAGTAACGGTGCAAGAAAGTAATACCTTGACTACAGTTATGCAACAGACCCAGAGAATAATCAGTCCACAATAGAAAAAAGTGAAAAAATAGAAAAAAGCGAAAGGAGAGTTCCAAGAGGTATGTTTCCAAAACAAATTTAAAATTGCTATATTTAAATATACTGAATGGGAATTTACACTTGGCAGAGTTTGGGCATAAATTAGAAATGGAAACAAAAGTCCATGCAAAAGAAAAAATGAGGCATTTATTAACCAGGAAAAATGTAAAGTTATATAAGAAAGGAAATATACTCATAGCACTACACACGGCTCAGTTCTGAAAAATATTTACCTGGTCATAATATTGAAAACTTTGAATATTAATTTAACAAAAATCTATACTGGAAAGGTGGAGAGAAAAGATGTCTGTTTATATCAGGCAGCAGGGGAGTAAGAGAGCTAATCATGTTATACAACGGTTACGTCGACAGAAAACACAGTAGATAAATTAACAAAGTACAGATTAAGCAAGTATTTTGCTGACACATGGAAGTAAATACGAGAAGAAATAGGTAAAAAAAAATGAGGGGAAGGTTGAAAGTGATTGCTTCTGAGAAGGAGAATAAGAGCTGAATATAACAGGTATAACAGAGGACAGCTGTTTTGCACGTAAAACTATTTGACTTTTTAAACCATGTACATGTACTACTGATAAAAAATTAAATGAAATAAGAGTAACTAAGAGTATAAATTAGAAACATGTTTAAACACATACACAAATAGTACTATACAAATTTTGTGGACACATATGATTTTGTTTAAGTATAAAATATAGATAGGAAAGATATATAAACATAGATTAGCTACCTGGAGAGGAAAGCAAAGAGAAGTGGAGAGCAGTGGGCTCTATTTGTAATACTTTATTACTGTTTTAAATTAGTAGTAAATATGGCAAAATGTAACAGTTAAATCTAGCTGGAAGATACCTGGAAGTCTTCGTATATACCCCACTATAAAGAGGACAGGTTTTATTTCGTCTACCTATTTTTATCTATTTGTGCTTAGAAAATGCCTGGCACACAGTAGGTACACAATAAATACTTGTGGAATGTACTTTTCTATATATTTAAAATATTTCATAAAAGAAAGTTTAATAAAAAATACATGCTTTATAAAAAAGCTCATAATTTATAAATATATAGAACAAAAAGTCTTCCACTCCCTCTCCAGGGATAACATCACTTTGGTATATATTTTCCAGACATTTTTCTAATACAGTCTATATGGGACATTGTAAGTATTTTTACAACTTGTTTTTTTCAGTACAGAAGTTTATTTTAAAAATTACTGAAAAAAAATTTTAAGACCCAGACTGTCATTCCTAATTCAGTTCATTCTCAAAAGATCATGTGACAAGTCTACCTTTAAATTCATGGCCACAACGCTCAAGAGCATGCTGCCCAGCACACCCATCAGGTTTCCCTAGTCCATTCATGCTCCTCCTGGAGAACTTACTTAATACCCTCTTTTATTTAAATTTCCAATACTCCCTTTTCCCTCAATCTTAGCTGATGATCTTGCTTCCTATTTCATCGAGCCAAGTGAAGGAATCAAGAGAGAATTTGCACAAGTTCTCATCACCACATTTACCAATGTCCTGCATCTATACTAACACATCCATTACTATAAATATTGTCCATTATCCTATTTAAAATGAACACCTACAAATGCGCTCCCATTTCCTACTCAAGGACAGCATTTACGCAATTCTCCCCACTCTCTCTCATCATCAATTTTTCTCTTTCCAACGCTTCATTCCTGTCAGTCAAACATGAAGTAATATCTCCCATTAAAAACAAGAAAAAAGGTAAAAATAATACTAATAATAATTCCTTGTCCTCACAGCCCCCTCAAGCAACCAAACCATTTATCTGCTGTTCTTTACAACACTCATCAAGTGTCATCTATATCCACTGTTTCTGAAGCTGGGTACCTGAGGGTTACCATAAATATTCAATAAGAACATGGTTATCCTTTGACCTTGTTCCCAACACAGACACAGATGAAAAGAAGTTAATCCACACATCTTTATAAACTTGTTAATTTGCTGTTTTCTTGTTTAACCTGAGAGGTGACCCAAGGGTCACAAGGATTTATAAGCTTGTTTTGCACAGGAAAAAGAATGCCTTTAAGGAAGTTACAACCACCAGATAACCAGCTCCCAACTGCGCTGGTGCCCAGAAGTCTGGTTGACCAAGGCCTTACCTGGAGTGAAAGAAACAGACCCCATTTGTTTTTCCAAAACTCCTCAGCCCAAGCCCTTTAGCTCTGTAAAGACCCCCTGCTTTCTTTTTACATTAAGGCAGATTTGAGAGAACCTATCCACCCACCTTATCGTTTGGCCAATTCAAATAAACCTTTCTCTACCTCCAAGCACTGGTGTCTCAGTGACTGGCTCATTGCACATCTAGCACACAAACCTGAGATTAAGAGGTTTGGTATCATTTATATTTCCTCCTCTCCAATGCTCAAACTCCCTCCAAACTCCCCTTCCACCTCTCTGAACTCTCATCAAAGTCTTTAATGACTTCTACCTTGGCTGAATCCAATAGTTAATTCTTAGCCCTCATCTTACTTGATGCATCAGCAGCGTGATACTATTAATCACTTCTTCCTTCTCAAAAGCCAGTCTTTGCTTGGCTTTCAAAACAACACTTTTGGGGTCTCCTCCTCCATTAGGCTGCTCCTTTTCTTTTATTTCTCCCCATCTCTTAAGCTCAACTTTGAAACAGCCCCAAGCTCAGTCACCGGCCAACTTTTTTATTTACGGTTACTTCTCTAGTGGCCACAACCCGCCCCCCGCCACACACACAACTTTACATACCATCTCTACACTGATGACTCCCAGATTTTTATCTGTATCTGAGACCTCTCTTGAACTCTAGACTTGTCATCTCCAGTTGAATACTTAACAGGCATCCCAAACACAGTACAACCAAAATCCAACTTCTGATTCTACTCCCAGACCACACCTGTTCTTTTCACAATATTCCTGTGTTCCAGTTCCTTGAGGCAACATCCTTGGAGCCATAGATGTCTCTCTCTATCTCAAACCTCAAATGTGATCCACACCATGAAACACTACTGGCTCCATCTTCAAATTATCTCCAGAAATTAAGTACTTTTCATCACCTCCACTTCCAGCTCCCTATACCCCCTAGTTCAAGTCATTATCAAGAATTATAAGAATATATAAGCCTTATAAAACCCAATGAATTCCCTTATGATTTATCCTGCAGCCATTTCCCCATAATCTCTGACCTCATCTCCCATCTCTCACTCTTGCTCACTCTACTCCAGCCACAAAGACCTTCATGTTATTCTTCAAACATAACAGATTTTTTCCTTAGGGACTTTGCACTAGCTATACCTCTCCCTAGATCATTCTCCCCTTCAGGACTTGGCCATACAGAGGTTGAAAGTCAACCCTTTTGGATTATGTCACTTTAAGCTCCACGAGGACAAGGATCTTGTTTATCAGGTTCACAACTATACACCCACAGCTCAGCATAATAATTGTGGGAGAGAAAGAAGAAAAGTTCCTATTTAAATCTATTTTTAAAAATCACTTTAAGCTATTTTATCACCATAAAAACATAAATCTCATCAAAGTATTTATAAAATTTTAAATATCTATAGAGAAACAGACAAACTGAAAACATCCATGGAAGCCAATAACTTATGACATATATGTTTACCTTCATTTTTACATGTTTTCTACCAAGAGGCTAATTTTTAAAGTATAGAATATGATTTTTAAATTATTCTAGAAAATAATGAAATATGCACTGCATTACCTGAGTGAATGAGTCAACTGAGGATACAGCAGCGTTACCTACAGGAGTCTGCTGAGCCAGACTGTCCAATAATTCCACTGAAATTCCAATCTGAGCCACAGATGGAGTTCGGACAATATTCATGGCTCCAAAAGGGTGTTGGCTTCCTTCTCCTGAAAGAAATTAACATGTGCCACATATTTCAAGTTTAACTTGTATCCATAAAAATTACTTTGTAAATATGTGAAGAACCTCCAATCCATATGCACTAAAAAGTTCTGTTAGATCAAAACTTGTTTCTTTTCAAATAAATGCAAAAGGCTACCTAGTTTTTACTATCTTAACAAAGAATAAGAAAACTAAAATTCCCACCAGAAAAATAGCTGTTACTTTTCTAAAACATATTAAAATTACTTGAGCTAGAAATGGAAATTAACAGAAAAAGAGAAAAATAAATGAATAAGCATTAATCAGATAAAAGATTCTCAATGCTAACTCTGAGGGAAGGATATTTTTAAAGATTTTTAGAATTAGTTTTAACATTTTCTGAATATTCCACTAAAGAAAGATCTTTAAATTGCCATTATTACTGATAAAAGACACGGTATATTTTACTAAATGTCATGGATCACTCCACTCAGTAATTGATGATGTTATCAAACAGGCAATAAAGAAATTTGCAGCTTATTCATGAAAAATATTTAATAACTTTCCCCTTTATAATATATCATATGTATAAAAAATATATCAATTATACATCTGAGCCTGTAACTGCCAGCTAACTTATACATGGGAAACATAAGTCAATTTTACTAATCCACACAAGACATAATCAGAAAAGTTAGTCTGAGAAAGGAAAAAAATTCATACAATGAATAGATTTTTGGGTTATCTGCTGTTTTTATATGACCATAAAATGTTTAAACAAATACTGAAGAACAAATACGTGGGACAATACACATTCTTAATAACTAGAACACTCCTTGCAAGTACCAAAACTTTTCTGAAATTTTCAAGCATACGAATAAAAACTTATAGATGTATTTTTCTGTGCTTTAAAAATATACACACATACACACCTCACTAAACACGACTAGTTTATTTTCAGTATTTTTAAATTGTTTTATTTAATTTCCACATATTTGTGAATTTTCCAGATTTACTTCCGTTACTTCTAATTTCTATAAATGTGGTTAGAGAACACTCTTTTAAAATATATTGAGACTTTTTTTGTGGCCTAACATATGGTCTATCTAAAGAAATATTCATGTTCACTTGAGATGAACATGTATTCTGCTGTAGTTAGGTAGAATGTTCTATATATATCTATTAGGTCTGGTTGGTTTATAGTATTATTCAAGCCTTCTATTTCCTTAATGATTTGTCTATAGCCACTTCAGCTCTCTTTTGGTTGTCTGTTTGCATTTATCTTTTTTCATCCTTTACTTTCAACCAATCTGTATCTCTGAATCAATGGTTAGATCATGTTTTTTTAGCCATTCTGCAAATCTCTGCCTTTTACTGGAGAGTTTAATTTTGTGTTAAATAGATACTTGCTAGTGTACCATTTTAATTCTCTTATTATTTCTTTTACTAGATATTTTTTGTTATTATCTTAGTGGCTGCACTAGGGATTATAATTAACATCTTAATTTATAACAACCTAGTTTGGATTAATAGCAATTTAATTTCAATAGCATACAAAAACTTTGCTCCCACATAATTCCTTCTCTCCCTTATGTTGTTATTGTCACAAATTACATCTTTATACATAGTACACCCATAAACAGACCCAGAGTTTTTGGTTTATGCAGTTGTTTTTTATTTCAGATAGGAAAAAAAGGAGTTACAAATAAAATGTACATTAACACTGATTCTTATAATTACCTATGTAGTTACCTTTACCTGTCTTCTTTTTTCTTCAAATGAATTTGAATTACTGTCTCATGTCCTCTCATTTCAGCTTGAAGGACTCCCTTTGGCATTTCCTATAGGGTAGGTCTTCTAGCAATGACTGTCTCAGTTTTTGTTTATCTGGAAATGTCTTCATTTCTCCTTTATTTCTGACGGATAGTTTTGATAGACAGAGCATTCTTGATGGACAACTTTTCTCTTTCCGTACTTTAAATATGTCATCCCACTGCCTTCTGGATTCCATTGTTTCTGATGAGAAATTAGATGTAATCTTATCAAGGATCCCTGTATGTGATAAGTTGTTTCTCCTGCTGCTTTCAAGGTGCTTTGTCTTTTGCAGTTTCTTACATGTCTCAATGTGTTTATCCTACTCAAAGTTCATTGAGCTTCTTAAGTGTGTAGATTAACGTTTTTCATCAAATTTACAAAGTTTTAGGACATTATTTCTTCAAATATTCTTTCCACCCCTTTCATCTCCTTCTGGGACTCTCATTATGTCTATGTTGGCATACTTGATGGTGTCTCATAGGTCTCTAAGACTCTGTTCATTTTACCTCATTCTTTTTCCTTTCTGCTCTTCAAACTAGATATTTCAGTTGACCTATCTTCAAGTTCACTGATTCTTTCTTCTGCCCAAATCTGCTATTGAAATCCTCTAGTGAATTTTTCATTTGTTACTGTACTTTTCAGCTCCATAATTTTAGTTCCTTTTCATAATTTCTCTATGATATTCTCTATTTGATGATACATTATTCTGCTGGTTTCCTTTAGCTCTTTGAGCATATTTGAGACAGTGTACTTAAAAGTCTTTGACTATTAAGTCCTATGTCTACGCTTCCTAGGGACAATTTCTGTTCATTCCATTATAACTGAGGCAGCAGTGACTAATACATTTGCCTGGAAATATTTTTGAAAAATACTCCCAGGATAGTCACTTTAGCACTGGAAGAGTTCCACGTTAGGTGAAATAAAGGCAAGTCTTTTGAATCAGTCTTCCAAGGAGCCACCAGACAGAGCAAAACAAGTTAATTAAAATTCATTGTGAATGAGGTTCACTCTGCTCCCTCTAGTACCAGTACCAGTACCAAGAACACAGGCTGTTATTTTCAAGGCTATCACTGAGCTGATGGGACCAGGGAAAGTTAAAATGCCACAAAGCTCACTGTTCTTAACAAAATTCAGTGGTTTTTCTTGATTAAATGTTCCCTTGGTTGCCACAGGATTTTGGTTAGTTTCCAGAGTCCTGAAAAAGTTGATTTTGCCAGTTTTTGCCAGTTTTTCTGTTGTTGTTGCTTTTATGGAGGGATGGACTTTTGGAATTCCTTACCCAATCATTTTAATTGTTTTAAACCTAGAATTATGCTAAGTCCAGAAAATGCATTGCTATTTGTCTGCATAACAGCCTCCAGTGATCTCAATTGAGGAAAGAGATTCAATACAACCTTCCATTGTCTTAGTTATAACTACTCAGGAAATGATCTGCCCAAGCAGAAAGGCTTGTCATCTCTAACTTCCATCTCTTATCACACACAACCTCTTGGCAAATGAATGAGGCCCCTAAGCAAAACTGCCATTGTAAGAGATGAGACTAAGGAAACATTCTGGCTTCTTCATTTTAAAATTTTCTGGGACTAAGACAATTTATGAGAAAAAAAAGACTCAAAAGTCTTCAGCGATCTTTATATTTTCAAAGAAATCCACTGTGCAATTAAATCATTCCTTAGTCACTTATTCTCAAAATGGGCTTGACACGTAGTTGATACCCTCCAAGTACAAAGGGTCTTGTCTGCAAACCATAAAATAAAACACTAGGAAAAAACACTGGAACATAATACACAAACTTACAGTTAGTGTTTAATTTTGGATCTGAATTCATGACAGCCAAAGCAAAAAGAAAGACAAGATCAGTTACACTGAGTCTTATCATGAAAAAATTTAAAACTAGGGCTAGCCCCAGTGCCCTAGTGGTTAAGTTTGGTGCGCTCTACTTCGGCAGCCCAAGTTTGGTTCCTGGATCCAGACCTACACCTCTCCTCTGTCAGTGGCCATGCAGTGGTGGCAGTTCATATACAAAAAAAAGGAAGACTGGCACCTGGTGTTAGCATAGGACAAACCTTCCTCAGTAAAAAATTTTTAAAAATAAATAAAAAATAGAAAAACAGCAGAGAAAGTAAAACATCTGACCTGACATATATTAGATAAAGTCCTCGATAACATTCCAATAATAAAAGCAGCAGCAAATTTTTAAGGCTGTTTCTCAAAGTGTCCCTCTTCAATGTAAGTCAAGAGCCTAATACAAGGCACAACTCAGAAGAAGAAATCCTCCAGGAAACTAGTCCTTTACTGTTGTTATACAAGGAAAAGCAATCATCATTTACGATTGGAGTCTAAAAGACTCTTTTTAAAAAATACACATTTTAACTCATTTTACAAAAAATGTTCAGAAGAATAAAGAGATAGTGAAAAACAACTTTATTAGAATTTTAGTAAATATTGAAGTACAGCAAACCCAAATATTCATTCTACACTTCCCACATTTTCCTGGTTTTTAAGTTATAAATAGCCAAAATGGGCCACATTCTCTGAATACAACTGTTAATCAACTGTCATGGATAAATGTGTAACGTATCCATCTTATACATCTGATTTCTGATTTTAAACACACCTCTAACAGGTTCTAGCTTATCATTACTTGTGGTTCTTTTTCTGGCAATTGCATTGTCAAAATGAAATACCTGAAACCTTAAAACTATAATGGCTCATAATTTGTTGAAAAGAGGATGGTCATCTTCTTTGATCCATAATTTGCAAAACATTGTCATTTTTAGATTTATAAACATTATTTAGAATAATCAATACAATTAATTTTTTTCATTTCTACACCTATTGCCTTCTAATCACCTTTGTATTCACATCCACTTTCAGCAATGTCCACTTACAAACTGTATCATTTTGGGGCACAAACATACGAGATGAAAGAATACCAGCACACATCATTTTACTACATGTCCAAGATTTTGTCACAAAATATTGTATGATTAATTCCTCCTGTTGAATGACTAAATAGGTAAGAATACCATATTTTCTTTTGGTCCTTAGAAATATACTATTCAATCATCAATTTTTTAATTTGAGAAAATTCACCTAAGAGATCATCATCTGAAGATTCACAGTCTGAGATTTTGATTCTATGATCAACTTCCCATCATCATTAGAGTCTAGAATGCTGCTATTTGCTTCTTTGTATTCATTTTTTGAT